CCTGCAACCACAAATAGGTGAGTACAAAAGGTGAGTACACACACACAACCAAAACGTTTAGTTAACACTTCATTATGCCCCCCATACCCATCCTGGGGCGGTAGTCAAAAGATCAAAGTACCAAAAGGGGGCCCGTGTGGCCCCCAAAATTATGATAGCTGAAGATACCTTAAATTGTATGGGGAAATTTCTGGTTTCCACAAGGTGGCAAATGTAAAAAGGGTGTTTAAATTTTGGCAATATGTCCCCGGTGGATGCCAGTCCTAAATTACCCGGTCCTCCACCATTCCAAAATAGCAATTTGAGTCGTTTAGCAACAAAACCCCGGGCCCGGGGCCGCAGTGTGGAAAATACTGAAAATTTTTTTTCCGGGAAAATACTGTAATTTTATGGGTATATAGATGCCCTATATTGTATTTTTAAAAGAAGTATGTTATGAAATGGGGGGGGGGGCCCTGGGGGGCGGGGGGGGGTCACTCGCCATCTGGTTTTGAATTTTATAACAAACGTTGGTGTAAGGGAAAAATTTTTCGTGCTCTAGAGGTTAAAATTGTGTTGACACCTCTCAAATAGGGGGCGAAATTGGGGGATGGTTTTCCCTTCTAACTTGAGTATCAGACACGGAAAAACAGCCCAGGAACCCAGAAAGCTTTTAAGATTTTGTGTAATTCTGGCCAGCTTATTTCTAATTTAGTTTGGGAGTGGGGTTTTTCGGTATATACACTTTAATCTCCTCAAATTGGTGAGTGATTTTAAGATTTTTTTTTCCCTTCTTTTATTTTAATTGTGATATATATAACCATTTTTTTTTTTAATATACGCCACAAATTTTTTTAATTTACCAGTATTCCTGGTGTTTATATTTCATTTAATTAAAAGGGCCAGAGCAAAATTGTGGTTAGACATGGGAGGTATCGAAGGGGACATTTTTTTTCGACCTAGGGGTCCCAGATTCCCCACTTGTTAGTAAATTTATAAATAATAATTTCTTTGTTATCATTTACTGTATGTACATAATTTTAAATTCAGATAAATGCAATTTTTTCCCCAGGGAGTTTCGCACGTGTATCGTATCTTTGAGAGGGTCCCCACCGTTTTTGGGTACTTTTTTTTTTATATGTTTTAAGGCAGCGTTAAAATAGTTGAAATAAGGTCGATTTAAAAAATTTTATTAAATACTGCAAAAGTAGGTTTTTTTTGAAGGTTTAATTTTTAAAAAAAATCAAGAAAAATAATTTTATTTAGAAGGCCTCATATTCCCCACTCCCGAAGGACATATTTTTTTGGGCCCGAGGGAAAATTTAGATTTTGCCACCCAAGTAGCTAGTTTATTGTCACCCCCATATCCATCCCCTGGACGGGAGCGCGAGAGCATATGGTACACAAAAGGCCTAGGAACTTGGCCCCAAAAGGGAACAGGAATACATATGGATTTTATCTCATATCTATAGTTCACTTATCTGTTAAAAAGCAAATTTAGGGAAATTTTTTCTTAGTTTCTGGTATCTTATTTCATTAAAAAAATCTTGACATGTCACATAGGGTTTTTATACTGTCTGTCTCTGTATTCCTCAAAAAGTGGACAATTTAAACACAAGTGTTCAAAAGATACCAATGCCTGATCACTAATTTACATTTAGTTTGATCTCATCGTGTGTCTCCCCAAAATGCCAGAAGTACTTTTTAACCAAGCCTAACCTGGCCACTACAACTCAGCAGTCTTTCACATTGCATTGCCCATAAACATACTTATCTACGTTCTGTTATCATGTGGGGTTAAAACACTCAGGCTTTAACTGCATTCATAACAATCATTTTCATTATTTACTTCTCTCCTAATTTTAATTTTTTAACAAAAACAGTTTTACCAAATTTATATTCAAAATTCCTTCTGGGTACCTTCTTGGGGAACAATCAATTTATAGAAGGAGTAAACCAATGTGTGGATCCAAGCAATTGTACATTAATTTCCTTTTTCCCCAATTTTTGAGTATCTATACCTGGCCTTTTCCCTGACATGTTGTTTGGGTCATTTATGAGTCAAGGCCTTCAGTAGACATAGAATCAAATGATGATAGAGTCAAGCTCGTATCATAGGGTTTGCTTTAGCGCCCTTAGGGTTGAAAAAAATTCAGTTTGCAGTGAGACGCCCAGTTTAAAACTTATGCCAAAATCAAAAATTTATTTCGCTTAACTAGGGAGTGGCAACAAGACAGATGCACCCTGCCCGAAACTCCTGTTTAGATCCATCAGTGTATATAACTTGTGATAACTTATTACTACAGCTAGGTGAAAATTTTTTTCTTTAGCAGTTGCTCTAACAAGAATTTAAGGGAAGGGGGTTACTAGCATAACTTCTTGGAGGGACTTGTAGGTATGTGATATTTTAAAAAACACTCTTCCATGGAGGGTGAAATGCTCTTTTTGCCTACAGTGTACAGTTCATGCAGGGTTTTAAAAAATTAATGCAATTGCACGTTTTCCCCAAACCATTTAATCGTGTGTATTACTCTAGAAAGGTAAATCACTGGACATGTTGGTTTTGTTTCTCAAAATTCTAATACCGATACAGTGTTAATTTCAACAAACCTATCCGATACTAGAAATACCAAATCCCTTTCCCCATGTTAAAACTTTTGTAGATTGGGCAGCCAAGAAAAATCTGAGGCTTCATTTTGCATTAACTCCAAGGTCCCGGGGAGAACTTTTCTTAGCTAAAATCAACATGGGGGCGCATAATCAAATTTAAAAACCTAACATAGGCTATGTAACTTCTCACGATTCCCACATTACACCAAGTTGGGGTTGTAGCCCAACAGCTTTGAAGGGATTTTTGCCAGCTTTGCATTTCTTTTTATTTGGTATAGGGATTTGTTAAAGGGTACATCTACACCAAATACTTTAAATTTTAATATAATGATTTTACCCTGCAAATAATGGGTGGGGGGGTTTTCGTTTGCTTTTTTAATATCTTTGTTTTAGAGGAAGATATATGAGGGCCCAGTCGTTTCAAATTGCTTTAATTCATTTAAAAATGGGATTCATTTCTTAGTCCTGTTGTATGGATCATGATATCATCAGCATAGCTTTTAGTATAGTTTTAGGTGAGGCGTAGGTATTTAGGGAGCATTTCAGAAAATAAATACATGGGGCTAAGAACTCCCCCTCGGTTACCTAAAGACTTTCTTTAGAAACATTCTGAAAAGGGCAGAGGATACTCTATTTTCAGGTATCCTATTACCACAAGTAAAAACCCCCAAATTCATTTTGGGTATTTTATGTAGTAAACGGTTCTGTTGCAATATCAAATGCAATTTTAATCAAAAAAGTGGTAAAACTAGTAAGGTTGTGCAGTGAGAAAGGTGGAAATACAGTTCTGCACACTTTTACCTTTCATGAACCCATAGAGGTAGGGGGAAAGTTGGTGTCTGATTCTGTAGTAATTTTTACCTGGAGTTTACCTGGAGAGAGTTTCGGGGTCAACGCCCCCGCGGCCCGGTCTTGACCAGCCTCCTGGTGGATCAGCCCCTGATCACAGGATGTTGTCTGCGGCTGCATCGCATTTACAACGTACGAGTCCACAGCCGGTGTTAAGGATCTAACTAGTACTGAGTTATAGTAAGTGCCTTCATGTCCAGTGCCAGTGTGTTGCTGTTATACTTTTTGGGATGTTGGTATCCCCCTATGTGTTGGGAGGCAGTTTGAATCAGTACTCGGGCCCTACACTTTTTTAGGGTCCTTTGTAGTGATCATGATATTCATGAGCATCGTTAAGCTATATGTTTTAGTGAGGTTTTGGTAGAAGTTCGGACTAGCCTTAATTTCCGGGGAATATTAATAGTATATCTCCTCCCTGCGGTTCCATAAAGGATTTTAGAATCACTCTCAAGGCGGGTACTCTATATTGAGGTGTTTTTATTCCATGCGGGTAAGTCCACATTTCTAGTTTGGCATTTCACTGCTATAAAGGTCTGTTCGAGTAGCAAATGCAGATTCTAGATAGAAAAGTGTAAAGAGTTCATCAGGGCTTGGCCTGTTGAGAAAGGTGAATACCAGTTCTGTCTTTTCACTGTTTACAATTTTTCCTTGAAGTTATTCAGGTAGGGCAAATAAGTTACAAGTTATCTTGTACTTGTTGAGCTGTAGAAAACCAGTCAGACAAGCATCATTCTTTCAAAAGTTTTACAAAGACAACTAGTTAAGGAGATCGGCCTAAATGTATCAGGCTGTTGGGGCTTAGGGATAGGCACAATGAGACTATTGGTCCAGGAAGTAGGAAGAACGCCCTCAATGTAACTGAGATTATACAGTGCCAACAAAGGGTTATCAGGCACGTGCCTTAGAGTTCTGAGAATATCATAGGTTATACCATCCTCTCCAGGAGCAGTTGATCGACCTTTGGTTAATGCATTATCTAATTCATACTCGGTAAAGAGGCAATCACTCTCATCAGTATTTTGGCTCATAAAATTAATCAGTTTCAACATTTCTTCAGAAGTACTCTCCACCTGCAGGGGAATGCATAATAAAGTAAATATTTGGCCTATGACTCAGCCCAGTGGCAATAAGTCACTTTGACTTTTTTGGGGGGTTATCATAGGTAATTTACACTATGTATGTAATTTTATTTATGTGTTCCTGTGGCTCTATAAGTTACTTATTCGGTACACAACTATTCAATAATTTGAAGGTCCATGAGATGCACAGTATTTAGGGAAAAAATTATTCTAGTCTTCAAATGTACATGGTTTTATTTTTTTTTATTTTAAGGGTATAATACGTGGTATTAATAGGTATTAATAACATGCAGGAAACAATAGCAAAACCACCCTGATATTGGACAGTTTTAGGAATAAATTATCACCAAACTGGCAAGGATTGGATATCCATAATTTCTTAATTTTGTGACAAGGTCCACTTTCTGGAAATAAAAATCTATTTATTGTTTTTTTTTATGCTAACTGTTGCGTCAGGAGGCAGATGTCAGCAAGTGTCAGCAGTGTCAGCTTACATCAGCAGCAGCAGCAGCAGCAGCAGCAGCAGCAGCAGCAGTCAACAACACTGTTGAGTGGCGGGAATCACATTCATCTTCTCATCACTTATTTCACTTCATTATTCGCCTGTTTTGAGTTAATTATACTGCTTGGTAGCCATTTGTGTTGTCATTTGTTTAATTATATTTTGAATATATTCGTTTTAGATAAACAAATAGTTATGTTACTGCTATATGATAGATACCCCAATGTTACTGGAAGATATTCAAATCCTTTTTGTGTTATGTGCATTTTTGTGTAGCTCTTGGACCCTTGAAGAAAGGAGGGGCGGTGCCTTGATGCTGGTAAAGGGCTCTTGATCTAAGGAATTGGTGCTACCTTGTGTACTTTTATTCATGGTACAAACTTGTTTTATCAAGCTTCAACACGTGATGCCTTGATCCTGCTGAAAGGCTCTTGATCCAAGAGATTGGAAGCTACTTTCCACTTCGTCGGATCAAACTTGATTTATGTAAAATAGCCAATTTTATAATGTGCTGTCTTTATCAGTGCTAGCTTAAGTCCTTATCATGCCTTATCAATCCAAATAATGATACCCGAAATTATTAACAAATTGTCATGCTCATTACTTAAAACTTTGTATTATTCAGTTGCATAATTAGCTTTAAGTTGGTAAATTTATTGAGGCACAGGTACACAAATACATTTATCATACATAGTGTATATTACTTAGGATAACCCCAAAAAGTCAGTGACTTATTTCCATTGGGGTCCTTTTTAACTAAGAAATTTCCCACCTATCAACACAAGCTTAGAGAACACCACATGAGATTTTGTTCGGATTTTTAACCTCGGAGGGTTAGCCACCCAGGATAACCCAAGAAAGGCAGTGCATCAAGGGACTGTTTGTCATAGTATTTCCATTGGGGTTCTCAGTCTTTTCCCTCAGGATGTGACCCACACCAGTCAACTAACACCCAGGAAACTACTTGCTCACTAGGTGAACGGGAGAGCAGGTGTAAGGAAATGGCCAAAGTTTCTGCCCTTGCTGGGGATTGAACCACAGACCCTCAGCATGTGAAGTGAGAGCATTGCCTACCAGGCCATGGACCACTGTGTTCCAGATCCTGGAGTTTACCTGGAGAGAGTTCTGGGGGTCAACGCCCCCGTGGCCCTGTCTGTGACCAGGCCTCATGGTGGATCAGCACGTGATCAACCAGGCTGTTACTGCTGGCTGCACGCAATCCAACGTACGAGCCACAGCCCGGTTAGTCAGGTACCGACTTTAGGTACTTGTCCAGTGCCTGCTTGAAGACAGCCAGGGGTCTATTGGTAATCCCCCTTATGTATGCTGGGAGGCAGTTGAACAGTCTCGGGCCCCTGACACTTATTGCATTATCTCTTAACGTGCTAGTGACACCCCTACTTTTCATTGGGGAGATGTTGCATTGTCTGCCGAATCATTTGCTTTCGTTGTGAGTGATTTTCGTGTGCAAGTTCGGTACTAGTCCCATTAGGATTTTCCAGGTGTATATAATCGTGTATCTCTCCCGCCTGTGTCCTAGTCAAAGTTGCCTGAAATGCTGTGTTTACTCTGGGCTCTTCAAGGTGTCATATGTATACATAGAAAGATTGCAGTCAGCAGGATTCAAAACCACATCAGGGGAGTCTGCCAAGGTTCCTCAAATGATGCTCTAGACCACTCGACCACAGATGCCTCAAAAGCTAGGCAGCCTGGTTTATAAGCCGTTTCTTCTTAGTCTGGGCACACCAGTGGATCTCAAGCATGGTTTCAAGCTATTTCATTTTCCTACTGTAAGTTCTGACCTCACAAGCAATTTTTATATCAGTGCACCATGCAGAAACAAGCAGAGGTATATATACAGACAAAGATTGCAGTTAGAAAGATTCGAAACCACGTCAGAGGATTCTGGCAAGGTTCCCCAAGTGGCGCTCTAGACCACTTGAATCCTATTGACTGTGATCTTTCTCTGTTTATACCTCCACTTGTTTCTACATGGTGCGGTGATATAAAAATCGCTTATGAGATCAGAGCATACAGGAGGAGAATGAAATAGCTTGAAATCATGCTTGAGGCCCACTGGTGTTCCCAGGCTATGAAGAAACGGCTTATAAACCAGGCTGCCTTGCTTTTGAGGCATCTTTGGCCGAGTGGTCTAGAGTGTCACTTGGCGAACCTTGCCAGACTCCCATGATGTGGTTTCAAATTCTGCTGACTGCGATCTTTCTCTGTATATACCTCTGCTTGTTTCTTTGTGGTGCATTGATATTAGATGTACGTATATCAAATACCAAATTATTGAAGATTAGAGGGGGGAGGGAGGTATTCGTTATTGCCAGTTTTCCTTAGATTTTGAATTATGAAATTTTATTTTTCACGACTGCAACATAAATTGGTAAAGTTTGGAATCGGTGGACTTGACCTGTTGATTCAGAAGACTAGACACACAGTATTGTAGCCTGTAAAGCAGTACAGTACTCTACATGTATTGTAAATAAAAATGAAGTTGAAGGTATATTAGTACTGTATATGTGGAGTAGAGGACAGTACATATACTTTTTTTGGTGGAGAGACGAGGTGTAAACTGGCACATACCCGTATCACTAAAATGGCAAACAAGCTTCCTTATTAGTTCAATTTTCTGCATAATATACTGAGATTCATTGATTTTCTCTTGCCACCACCATTGCTAGTTGCTCTTTACTTAACCCTTAAACTGTCCAAACGTAGATCTACGTTCACTTGCGGGGGGGGGGGGGGGCTCCGAACGTAGATCTTGTTTTTTTTTACTTGCTTTCAAATGGGGAAAATCATTGTTGGAGTGCTACGCACATGAAGGTAGATCTGTGTTTGGACAGTTTAAGGGTTAATGTGTTAATAGTTACTCAAAGACTGCAAATCCAGGGGAAAATTTGAAACTGAATGATGGTTGCATGTGTGAGTGAGAACAGACATTAAAATGATGTGGGCAACTCTGTGACCTGGCTTGACCCAGCCACTTGCCTGACTGCTTGTGTAAATATACTTGTTGTACATCTCTTTATATTAACTGAAAAAAAAAAACTTGCACAGGCAAACTGTGTTGATGATGTTCATCTACAAATTCTGTTTTCCTGTATAGTATAAATATTTATTACTAAGTTGTGACAGGAGTGCACTTTTCACAGACATTGTGCTCATGTTCTGTCTTGGTAAGGGATAGTTGGAAATAGTACTAACCATTAAACTGTCCAAACGTAGATCTATGTTGACGTGCGTAGTGCTCCGAACGTAGATTTATGTCCGATTTTACATGCTTTCAAATGGAGAAAATCATGGTTGGAGCGCTACACACGTCAACGTAGATCTACATTTGGACAGTTTAAGGGTTAATACAGTGGATCCTCAGTTAACGACATTAATCCGTTCCAGAGAGCTTGTCTTTAACTGATTCTGTTGTTATCCAAATTAGTTTTCCCCATAAGAAATAATGGAAATCCAATTAATCCGTTCCAGACACCCAAAAGCATTAAACAAAATAATTTTTTTACGTGAAATATACATTTCCCTACACAGAAAACAATGAGACATACAGAATAAATACATTAATAATTAATAAAATGACACTTTTATTGAAGACGTATTTGAAGAGTGATGAGATGGGAGGAGGGCAGAGGATGGAGGAGTTTACAATTGTTTGGAAGGGGAATCCCCTTCAATAAGGACTTTAGGTACCAAGTTCTTTTTTGGGGTTACCTCCTTTCTTTGTTTTATAATGCCACTAGGACCAGCTTGAGTCACTGGACCCCTGTTGCACCAAAAATCTGTCCAGAGAGCTCTGTTTCTGGTGTGTCTTTAAGATTTCCCTAAAATGGGACACAACATTGTCATTGTAGATGTTGCCAGCATGGCCTGCAACAGCTGTGTCAGGGTGATGTTCATCCATAAAGGTTTGCACTTCAGTCCACTTTGCACAAATGTCCTTAATATTTGAATAAGGCAACTTCCTCCATCTTTCTTCCCCCCTCCTCTGAAGGAAATTCCTGAGCTCTGGTCTGTTGCTGTTGCACTCAAGCTCTTGCAGCTCTGTAGTGGTTAGCTCTTCATCGTCGTCCTCCACCAACTCTTCCACATCCTCGCCACTGACCTCCAACCCCATGGACTTCCCCAATGCCACAATAGATTCCACAACTGGCATAGGCTACTCAGGGTTAGCCCCAAACCCTTCAAAATTGTGGCCACAATTTTCTCAAAGCAGAGTTCAAAGTTCTGCAAGTCACTCCCTCCCAAGCCTTATCTATAAGGTTTATGCAGCTGAGGATACTGAAGTGATCTTTCCAGAACTCTCTTAAGGTCAAGAGGAGTGGTGTTAGGGGGCAAAAATTTCACTTTGATGAAACCAAACTCCCCCCACAATTCGCTCTTCCGGAGGATGAACAGGAGCATTGTCCATTAACACGAGGCACTAGAGTGGCAATTTGTTTTCCAGGAGGTATTTTCACACTGGAGCCAAACACGTCATAGAACCAATTGAGGAAAATGTCCCTCGTGACCCATGCCTAACTGTTTACTCTTCACATCACACACAATTTAGTCTTGATGACACTGTTTTTCTTGAACACACTGGGAGTTTCAGAGTGACACACGAGTAAAAGCTTCACTTTGCAATCCCCACTAGCATTACTACAAAACATGAGAGTTATCTTGTCTTTCATAGGCTTGTGTCCTGGGAGTGCTTTTTCCTCCTGAGTAATGTAGGTCCTGTTTGGCATTTTCTTCCAAAAGAGGCCTGTTTTGTCACAATTGAACACTTGTTGAGGTTTAATTGTTGAGTCTCTATGTTCCCCTTAAAGTCCTGCACATATTTTTCAGCCACTTTTTTGTCAGAACTTGCAGCTTCATTATGCCTTATCACACTGTGTATGCCACTATGATTCTTAAATCTCTCAAACCAACCTTTGCTGGCCTTAAATTCACCAATATGAGCACTAGTTCCAGGCATTTTCTTAATGAGATCATCATGCAACTGCCTTGCCTTTTCACATTTAATTGACTGTTGAAACACTATCTCCCGATGATTGTTTCTCATTGATCCACACCAACAACAGTCTTTCCACATCTTCGAGTATTTGCGATCTCTGTTTTGTAAGCACATTTGCACCTTTTGCAACAATAGCTTCCTTGTTTGCCTTTTTGTTGGCCAATATAGTAGCGATGGTTGTATGGGGTTTGTTATACAACCTGGCCAGCTTGGAGACACGTACATCACTTTCGTATTTTGTGATGATCTCTTTCTTGAATTCAATAGTATTTCTCACCCTCATTACCACAGGGCTCACACTAGAAGCTTTCTTTTGGCCCAAGGTGGCTTATTTAGCAGTTACAAGCACTAAAAACAATGGAATAATAAAATGTATCGCATGTACACTTGGAATCGTCCTCACTGGCTTGTAAGCAATGGCACACTGGCTGTACATGGAGTGGTCGGGCCGCTCAGGCTGCGCGGATACTTTGGGACGAATGACTTTAACCGAGTTCTTTGTCGTTAACTGAGCCAATATTTTGACGCAAAAAGTGTCATCCGATTTTCCTTTATCCGATGACGTCATTACCTGAGGGTCCAGTGTACAGTATTACTCTAAGTTACAGTAAAATGTAGTGTTGGAAAGCTCTACTGAAGCTTATATCTATGATTCTCTGTATTTAATATGGTATACATGTACTTAAGATATCTCAAATTGCATTAATCTTTCAGACTGAGTGAAGGTGCCAGTCAAGCAAAATGTCTCGAATTGACAGATTGGCCATCCAAGGCATACGAAGCTTTGGACCAGATGAACCAAGAAAGATTCAATTTTTTTCCCCTCTTACTCTCATTCTTGGTCAGAATGGCTGTGGAAAGACTGTAAGTCATTACAATATGTACTAATTCATAGTCATTAATCTTAATTCCTGTACCCTTGGTTGTTATTTTACAATTTTCTCTTTTTTTTTAACTTCCTGCTACAAGTGCTGGTTCAACTGGATTGTGATGGTACTGTGGGCCTGCAAGCCACTAGCTCAAATAGGCTAGTTGATCAAGAAGCCAACAGTGAAGCCTGCATAGGCTGTACTGGTAGGAGAGCCCTTGAAACTGGTCACATGCATACCACAGGTGTACATGGTTGAGCCCAGTAAAATGAACTCATCTAGACTGAGGGTCAACCAGTACAAAACATTTCATGTATAAAAAACGAAAGCTCTGAAATGTCCCTGAAAGATACTTATAATAAAAGGGATAAGGTATATTACAGTAATTACCTGCTGGGTATTTTAACTTAACACTGGCATTATATATTGCTCGGGCTTGTGTGAATGTGTCAGATTGAAATGACTGGAAACAAGTAGTTTTTATGGCTTGACATGGTGTTTGGAGTGTGAGCAAAGTAGCATTTATAAAGGGATTCAGGGAAAACTTAGCCAGACTTGAGTCCTGGAGGTTTGAATTGTGATGTCTTGTGACTTTTGACAAGACAGCCATTGAATGAATGAGTGTTTCTTTATATTTATTTATTTATTATTTTTTTTTTTGGGGGGGGGGTCACCCTACCTTGGTGAGAGATAGTTTGTATATTAAAAAATTCTGCAGAAGGCATGGGCATGTGTAATTACAGTGTACACTAGTATTGTATGATATACAGTGGATGCTTCATTACAAGAAAATGTGCAGGATTTCTTTTGTGGTGGTTTTGATTGCTATATATTATGTAATTTAAGCATCATATGGAATGCATGGCCTCTTGTATAGTGTGCCACCCTCACCCTTTTTTTCTTTTCAGTTTGACATGTGTTTCTTGTCATCACTCTTTCTCGCTCATTATTATGGTTATATATGTTATCATTATGCACTTTGTAAAGTAAAAGGACACAAGTGCAACTAATGTGACTTTTATTGTGGCAACGTTTCGCTCTCCAGGAGCTTTGTCAAGCCGTAACGGCTTGACAAAGCTCCTGGACAGCGAAACATTACCACAATAAAATGTCACATTAACGATACAGCATTGTATCGTTATGGCATCATGAGGAATATAAGAATTCTTAGGAATTACATATTCAATATGAAATTGTGGATTAAAGCCAAAATTAATTATATAGAGGCACAACAGCCACATTTTCAGGCATTCCACAAGTGTTTCTCATTTTAAACACTTAATTGCTCATTAATATTTTCATTCACTAGTATTCACAGCTTTAGTACGATAGATACAGCTTTATGATGTTGACCTATCACATAAATATTTTATTTTTTTATTATCACACTGGCCGATTCCCACCAAGGCAGAGTGTCCCGAAAAAGAAAAACTTTCACCATCATTCACTCCATCACTGTCTTGCCAGAAGGGCGCTTTACACTACAGTTTTTAAACTGCAACATTAACACCCCTCCTTCAGAGTGCAGGCACTGTACTTCCCATCTCCAGGACTCAAGTCCGGCCTGCCGATTTCCCTGAACCCCTTCACAGATGTTACTTTGCTCACACTCCAACAGCACGTCAAGTATTAAAAACCATTTGTCTCCATTCACTCTTATCAAACACGCTCACGCATGCCTGCTGGAAGTCCAAGCCCCTCGCACACAAAACCTCCTTTACCCCCTCCCTCCAACCTTTCCTAGGCCGACCCCTACCCCGCCTTCCTTCCACTACAGTCTGATACACTCTTGAAGTCACTCTGTTTCGCTCCATTCTCTCTACATGTCCGAACCACCTCAACAACCCTTCCTCAGCCCTCTGGACAACAGTTTTGGTAATCCCGCACCTCCTCCTAACTTCCAAACTACGAATTCTCTGCATTATATTCACACCACACATTGCCCTCAGACATGACATCTCCACTGCCTCCAGCCTTCTCCTCGCTGCAACATTCATCACCCATGCTTCACACCCATATAAGAGCGTTGGTAAAACTATACTCTCATACATTCCCTCTCTTGCCTCCAAGGACAAAGTTCTTTGTCTCCACATACTCCTAAGTGCATCACTCACCCTTTTCCCATCATCAATTCTATGATTCACCTCATCTTTCATAGACCCATCCGCTGACACGTCCACTCCCAAATATCTGAATACATTCACCTCCTCCATACTCTCTCCCTCCAATCTGATATCCAATCTTTCATCACCTAATCTTTTTGTTATCCTCATAACCTTACTCTTTCCTGATTCACTTTTAATTTTCTTCTTTTGCACACCCTACCAAATTCATCCACCAATCTCTGCAACTTCTCTTCAGAATCTCCAAAGAGCACAGTGTCATCAGCAAAGAGCAACTGTGACAACTCCCACTTCATGTGTGATTCTTTATCTTTTAACTCCACGCCTCTTGCCAAGACCCTCGCATTTACTTCTCTTACAACCCCATCTATAAATATATTAAACAACCACGGTGACATCACACATCCTTGTCTAAGGCCTACTTTTACTGGGAAATAATTTAGCTCTTTCCTACATACTCTAACTTGAGCTTCACTATCCTCGTAAAAACTCTTCACTTCTTTCAGTAACCTACCTCCTATACCATACACCTGCAACATCTGCCCATTGCCCCCCCTATCCACCCTGTCATATGCCTTTTCCAAATCCATAAATGCCACAAAGACCTCTTTACCCTTATCTTAATACTGTTCACTTATATGTTTCACTGTAAACACCTGGTCCACACACCCCCTACCTTTCCTAAAGCCTCCTTGTTCATCTGCTTCCTATTCTCTGTCTTATCTTAATTCTTTCAATAAACTTAAATACACTTTACCAGGTTCTAACAAATTACCCTATATTTTTTGTGCTCTCTTTTGTCCCCTTTGCCTTTATACAAAGGAACTATGCATGCTCTCTGCCAATCCCTAGGTACCTTACCCTCTTCCATACATTTATTAAATAATTGCACCATCCACTCCAAAACTATATCCCCACCTGCTTTTAACATTTCTATCTTTATCCCATCAATCCCCGCTGCCTTACCCTCTTTCATTTTACCTACTGCCTCACGAACTTCCCCCACACTCACAACTGGCTCTTCTCACTCCTACAAGATATTGTTCCTCCTTGATCTATACACGAAATCACAGCTTCCCTATCTTCATCAACATTTAACAATTCCTCAAAATATTCCCTCCATCTTCCCAATACCTCTAACTCTCCATTTAATAACTTTCCTCTCCTATTTTTAACTGACAAATCCATTTGTTCTCTAGGCTTCCTTAACTTGTTACTCACTCCAAAACTTTTTCTTATTTTCAACAAAATTTGTTGATAACATCTCACCCACTCTCTCATTTGCTCTCTTTTTACATTGCTTCACCACTCTCTTAACCTCTCTCTTTTTCTCCATATACTCTTCCCTCCTTGCATCACTTCTACTTTGTAAAAACTTCTCATATGCTAACTTTTTCTCCCTTACTACTCTCTTTACATCATTCCACCAATTGCTTCTCTTCCCTCCCGCACCCACTTTCTGTAACCACAAATTTCTGCTGAACACTCTAACACTACATTTTTAAACCTACCCCATACCTCTTCGACCCCATTGCCTATGCTCTCATTAGCCATCTATCCTCCAATAGCTGTTTATATCTTCCCTAACTGCCTCTCTTTTAGTTTATAAACCTTCACCTCTCTCTTCCCTAATGCTTCTATTCTCCTTGTATCCCATCTACCTTTTACTCTCAGTGTAGCTACAACTAGAAAGTGATCTGATATATCTGTGGCCCCTCTATAAACATGTACATCCTGAAGTCTACTCAACAGTCTTTTATCTACCAATACATAATCCAACAAACTACTGTCATTTCGCCCTACATCATATCTTGTATACTTATTTATCCTCTTTTTCTTAAAATATGTATTACCTATAACTAAACCCCTTTCTATACAAAGTTCAATCAAAGGGCTCCCATTATCATTTACACCTGGCACCCCAAACTTACCTACCACACCCTCTCTAAAAGTTTCTCCTACTTTAGCATTCAGGTCCCCTACCACAATTACTCTCTCACTTGGTTCAAAGGTTCTTATACATTCACTTAACATCTCCCAAAATCTCTCTCTCTCCTCTACATTCCTCTCTTCTCCAGGTGCATACACGCTTATTATGACTCACTTTTCGCATCCAACCTTTACTTTAATCCTCATAATTCTTGAATTTACACATTCATATTCTCTTTTCTCCTTCCATAACTGATCCTTCAACATTACTGCTACCCCTTCGTTTCCTCTAACTCTCTCAGATACTCCAGATTTAATCCCATTTATTTCCCCCCACCGAAACTCCCCTACCCCCTTCAGCTTTGTTTCGCTTAGGGCCAGGACATCCAACTTCTTTTCATTCATAACATCAGCAATCATCTGTTTCTTGTCATCCGCACTACATCCACGCACATTCAAGCATCCCAGTTTTATAAAGTTTTTCTTGTTCTCTTTTTTAGTAAATGTCTACAGGAGAAGGGGTTACTAGCCCATTGCTCCCGGCATTTTAGTCGCCTCATACGACACGCATGGCTTACGGAGGAAAGATTCTTTTCCACTTCCCCATGGACAATAGAAGAAATAAAGAAGAACAAGAGCTATTTAGAAAAAGGAGAAAAGCCTAGATGTATGTATATATATATATGCATGTGCGTGTCTGTGAAGTGTGACCAAAGTGTAAGTAGGGGTAGCAAGATATCCCTGTTATCTAGCGTGTTTTTTTTTTTTTATGAGACAGAAAAAGAAACCAGCAATCACATAAATATTGAATAAAAATTTTTTTTATATTTGATTGTCATTTTAAGCAGCCATTCAAATGAGCAGCACATGCCATATCTGGGTTCATTTGTAATAATATACTGAATTTGTAATTCCGTGGAGTTAATAAAAGTATTAGTCAGAGGGCTGAAGAGGGGTTGTTGAGGTGGTTTGGTCATTTAGAGAGAATGGATCAAAGTAGAATGACATGGAGAACATTTAAACCTGTAGGGGAAGGAAGGCGGGGTAGGGGTCATCCTCGAAAAGGTTGGAAGGAAGGGGTAAGGGAGGTTTTGTGGGCGAGGGGCTTGGACTTCCAGCAGGCGTGCGTGAGCTGTTGTGTTCTGAGCACCTCTGCAAAAACAGTGGTTCGATAGGAGTGAATGGAGACGAATGGTATTTGGGACCTGACGACCTGTTGGAGTGTGAGCAGGGTAATATTTAGTTAAAGGATTCAGGGAAACCGGTTATTTTTATATAGCCGGACTTGAGTCCTGGAAATGGGAAGTACAATGCCTGCAGTCTAAAGGAGGGGTTCGGGATATTGACAGTTTAGAAAGATGTGTTGTGTATCTTTATACGTATATGCTTCTAAGCTGTTGTGTTCTGAGCACCTCTGCAAAAACAGTGATTATGTGTGAGTGAGGTGAAAGAGTTGAAATGATGAAAGTATTTTCTTTTTGGGGATTTTCTTTCTTTTTGGGTCACCCTGCCTTGGTGGGAGACGGCCGACTTGTTAAAAAAAAAAAAATAGTGAATTTGATTTAGTGTTACGGAAAAATTTCTTTTGCCCAATTTTTCCTGATTAAGTATACAGGGGATAATTTGTCTTATATTCACTTGCTAAAGTGCAAGGCTGGCTTTTGTCTTTCTTCTATTTCTTTTATTAGTTTGTTGTTATTTGCCTTTAACACTTTTGAGCTGATATTATTTTACTTGTTATGTTAAACCTCCATCACTTCTTCCACTGAATAACTTGCATAGGTTTAGCACTTCATATAAAATCATGCATACAATAGCATTAATGTCTGTTGACTGAGTTTATTATTGATACCAATAAAAGGAAGTATTCATTCCTTTAACCCTCTGAGGGTTGGTGCCGTACTAGTACGCATAAATTTTAGCGCCTTCAAATCTAACGAGAGAAAGCTGGTAGGCCTACATATGAAAGAATAGGTGTATGTGGTCAGTGTGCACAGTATAAAAAAAATCCTGCAGCACAGTGTATAATGAGAAAAAACTCCGACCGTGTTTTTGCTTTAAAACAGCGACTTTGCAGTGTATTTTCGTATGCTATTTGTGGTTGTATTCTAGTTTTCCTGGTCTCATTTTATAGAATGGAAGACATATTACAGAAATTGAGATGATTTTGATTGGTTTCACAATGAAAAGTACCTTGATATTGAGCTCAAAGTAGCAGAAATGTTCGATTTTTGCCCAAGTTCAAAAGTAAAGAAATCATGCCACGAGTCCAATACATGTCAACTGGTGAGTCTAATATTCTTTCACAAGTGTGCTGATATTATTTATACCATTTCTACACTAATGCTGTAGTCTGCATAACAGTAAATCTTCTATTTTTTTGTGAGAATAAAAATTTGAAGTGGAAAGCAAAAGAAATGTAAGAGAGGCCTGGGAACATGACTAATGAACAGAAAAATTTTTATTTTAGTGCCAGGAATGTCTGTCTTGTTTATTCTGGACCCTATTTGGAAATTGGCATCTTTTGAAATTTGTGTGAAATTGGCAAAATTGTCAATTTCTGACCACTTTACTGGATAGTCGAAATCAGTAATTGGGTGGTTTCTTGTACTCTTTCGATAGAAAAAATGGAGTTCTAGCAAAATGGTCATGATTTTTGTCGACTGGTACATTGGAATTGGCCGAAAATAGGGCTCAAGATGGGCGGAATTGCTGATGCATGAACATCATCTAGACCGCTAATTTCGCGAGAGCATAATTCCGTAAGTTTTCCATCAAATTTCATACTTTTGGTGTCATTATGATCAGGAAAAGATTGTGTTATTTCATAAGATTTTTTTTTTTTTTTTTTTTTTTTTTTTTTAAATTTCCAACCCTGAGAACAAGTTTAGGAGAGGGCCTGCCGACCCTGAAAGGGTTAAGGAAGTTTTCTGTATACCAAATGGCTCGCTTGAAGACTATTAATTTGTTCTTGTTATTGAACCTATTTTATTACTCTTTTCATTGTATAACATTTACCTTTGCTTTTAGTAATTATAGCTTTAATGGCTCAATGAAAAATGAGTAAAAAAAGAGCATCACAAATTCTCTGTTCCTACCAAATTAGTTCTTGAATGTATGCTTTTTCTACAGACAATTATTGAGTCGCTGAAATACATATCTACAGGGGAAGTGCCACCAGGTTGTGGGCGTGGAGGCTCTTTTGTCCATGACCCGAAGATGGCCAAGGAGTTAACAGTAAGTATCTACCAGTATTCTTGTTACTGTAATTGTTACTTTGATCAAATTAAGGGTAATCTAAATATTATGGCATTTTTTCTATCCTTAGTGCATGTATTACATTGTCTTTCAAATAAATGCATTACTTATAAGTAAGCAATTTTTCTCTAAGAAGACCAGTTTCTAGGGATATATACTTTCCCCTTCTTGAAATTAAAATAGTTCTCAGTCTAAAGAATATATGAGTACAACTAGGTAACATATCTGTCTTGTTCTTACATGGAGGACTAAGCCTCCTGTACTTTTTGTACTGGGATCCTCCCAGGATTTGCTCTTCACACAAGTATAAAACAATTGAGGAGAATGAGTATGATAATGTAAACCTTTGACTTGTTAAAATGAAGAATATATTCATTTATTTAAGCTACTATATATAAAATGCTGTGCAATTTTATAGAATGTCTTTATTTTCACAGAATTCTTTGACAGTGCAATGGCTACCAGTGACATTTATTGACATGAATATTGTAAGGATCCAAATGTTGCTTTATTATATGTACATATTGTTTGTTGGAACATTGGGACTTGGAAGAGGATATGGGATAGCCCCATGGTTGTTTAATGTTATTGATCGAGATGTAAGAAAATTTTATTGTATTTGTGTGTGGTCCTAAAAGATAAAGAATCTAATTTTAACCTGTAAACGGTCCAGACCTATATATACATTCTTACCGCTAGTGCCCAAAACGTAAATATGTATACGTTTTATTTTTCCTGCCTCCAAATTTGGCTCACGATTGGCATGAGATGCCTGGTCTCCATAGAATGGGTCTTAACGCTCAGTGTGCACCATATTAAAAAAATCTGGGACTACATAGTACCTTGTGGGAGCGCTAGTTATGTTGACCGCCAGCTAGAGCAAACGGTGGGGCAAACACCAAGGGTTCACTGATGTAATGTCATATTAACACTCCCCTTTTAAGAGGAAAGCGATGTTAACCCCAAGTTTAGGGTCTGTCTATCTGTCTGTCTATTTCTGTCTGTCTATCTCTGTCTATCTGTCTCACAGGTACACACAAATACATAGTGTAAATTACCTAGGATAGCCTAAAAAATCCAAAGTGCTATATTGTGCGTGTAGATATAATGCATAAGAATACTGGTTGGTTCACAGTGGCTCTCTCTGAGACAGAGAGATGGAAAGAGATAAGCAGACAGAGAAACAAGACAGAGAGACAGATAATCAGAGATACAAGCTCATCAAATGTCATCCCATATCTCTGCACCCTCGCTGGTGCCCATCAAATGTCATAGCTTATCTCCTCTTATCTCTGCACCCTGCTGGAGCCCATTAAATGTCATCTCATATCTGATCTTATCACTGCCCTCCTGGATGCTTGTCACTGAACACTTGTCTTACACATTGCTTCAAGGGAATTTCTTCCTTCTTCCTCCTTCTCCTTCCTTCGTCCTTCTTCCTTCTTCTTCTATGTTCCCGTGTATCCAAAACATTGCTGGGACCTATAAATACTTCGTATATATACCTAGACATTAGTATATGACCAAGGCAGGTGTAAATGCCTGCCTGTCAATGTGTTTGTGACAATTTGAGTATAATTTCAGTATCTAATATTAGTGTCAGAACAATGATTGGTTATGAAATGACAAGAACTACAATAAATTGTAATTATCAGAACATAAAAATTATATAAAATAATATAAAAATGAGAAAAATGATATATCGGCAACACTTTTGCAAGCAGCAGGACTCTGTTGCTGTCAGGTGAGCATTAAGTGCCAACTTTGTAGCCTCATATCTCAGTAAGTACTGGCCCTAATTTTTTTATTTTAATCCTATAATACTTAGAAAAAGGTGCTCTTTATTTTCATTAAAAATTTTTATTTTTTTTTATTTTTCAAAATATTTGGGGCACTGGGGTAGTGAACGTATATATACGTTTGGATCATTTACAAGTTAAGTAATAAGTATCACAATCACTGTTAATGGGTGATTATATTAATGAAAGATTCTGATGAGAAGCTGCAAAGGCTGGTTGAAGACTTTGCAAGGGTATATAAGAGATGTTGAAAGTGAATACAGAAAACATAAGATATATGAGATATTTGGAGAGTGAATGACTAGTTTGGAATGTAAATCACAGAATACAGGTGGAAGAGGTGGTTGAAGGCAGTCGAAATGTCTTGTCACTGATGAATGTGTGGTGTTTTTGTTATTCAGGGAATAAGAAATGGCAACATTAAGAGACTTGATATGAAATTAAAAAAAAAGGGAAAGGGGGTTATTTAGATTAGCTATGTAGACATAATGAAGATTACTAAATTTAGATAGAAAAGCTTTTGTTTTTCTTTTTAGATTGCCCTGTCTCAGTGGGATATGGCCAGTTCATTGAAAAAAGAACACAATGGTACAAGATGAATGATAAAGGAAGGTGGTGTATAGCGGTTTCACTCTGAAATTAGCGTTAGGAGGGTGTAGTTTGTTAGATCAACAATGATATGTTTTCTGTGACCTGGAGATGCAGATAGAGATATTATGAATTTTTCTTATTAAAAAAAAAAAAAATGCCTCAATCACTGTATCAACTGTCTTCGCTGTTGATATTTTTCACATTTTATTCCTGATTTTATAAAAATGAAATGGGTACACAGAGCTTCTCTAGAAATAAAAATTAATATTTATCCTAATTTCATGTTGAAGAAAAATTAGTTAAAATTTTGATGGGCTGAGTGTGCTGTACACTCAAGAAATAGGTGAAGAATGAGGCTCTGAACTATTAACACTTAAATTTTGTTTGTCTTTTACACATTTTAAGTCCTTAAGTAATACTTCTTTCTTCTTTCAACAAATCTGCCATATCCCACTGAGGTAGGGTGGCCCCCCCAAAAAAAGAAAGTTTCTCTTTTTAAATTTAGTAATCTTTCAACAAACTCGCTGTATCCCACCGAAGAAGGGTGGCCCAAAAAGGAAAACAAAAGTTTCCCTTTTTAACTTCAGTAATGTATACAGGAGAAGGGGTTACTAGCCCCTTGCTCCTGGCATTTTAATCGCCTCATACGACACGCATGGTTTACGGAGGAAGAATTCTGTTTCACTTCCCCATGGAGATAAGAGGAAATAAACAAGAACTAGTAAGAAAAATAGAAGAAAGCCCAGAGGGGTGTATATATATGCTTGTACATGCATGTGTAGTGTCACTTAACCCTTTCAGGGTTGACAGGCCCTCTCCTAAACTTGTTCTCAGGGTTGGAAATTTTTCAAAAAACATTTTTTCTTATGAAATGATAGAGAATCTTTTCCCGATCATAATGACACCAAAAGTATGAAATTTGATGGAAAACTTCCGGAATTATGCTCTCGCGAAGTTAGCGGTCTCAACGTTGTTTACGCATCGGCGATTTTGCCCACTTTGAGCCCTATTTTCAGCCAATTCCAATGTACCAGTCGACAAAAATCATAACTACAGTGGACCCCCCGGTTAACGATATTTTTTCACTCCAGAAGTATGTTCCGGTGCCAGTACTGACCGAATTTGTTCCCATAAGAAATATTGTGAAGTAGATTAGTCCATTTCAGACCCCCAAACATACACATACAAACGCACTTACATAAATACACTTACATAATTGGTCACATTCGGAGGTAATCGTTATGCGGGGGTCCATTGTATTTCGCTAGAACTCCATTTATTTCTATCGAATGAGTACAAGAAACCACCCATTTACCGATTTCAACTATCCAATAAAGTGCCCAGAAATTGGCAATTTTGCCAATTTCACACAAATTTCAAAAGATGCCAATTTCCAAAAAGGGTCCAGAATAAACAAGACAGACATTCCTGGCACTAAAATAAAAAAAATTTCTGTTCATTAGTCATGTCCCCAGGCCTCTCTTACATTTCTTTAGCTTTCCACTTTGAATTTTTATTCTCACAAGAAAACAGTAGATTTACTGTTATGCAGACTACAGCATTAGTGTAGAAATGGTATAAATAATATCAGCGCACTTGTGAAAAAATATTAGACTCACCAGTTGACGTGTATTGGACGCATAGCATGATTTGTTTACTTTTGAACTTTGGCAAAAATCGAACATTCCTGCTACTTTGAGCTCAATTTCAATTCAATTCAATCCAATTCAATTCAATTCAAGTTTATTCTCTATAAGGGTTACAATGTGGGGTTTACAGGTTTTGGGTATTGTGTGGTTTACATGTTATAAAATACTAATTACAGAGGGGGCCACTAGGACACCTAGCGTGGCTAGGCATTTCGGGCAGACTTAGATTAATTCTTAACATTAAATCCTTACAGATTATGGTATTAAGGGGGCTAGAGGGCAAATTTCGTAACGTTTATTTACCGTCCGATTTTCTCCAGTTTTGGTGCACAAGACAAAGTGTTCTCACTCTTTCTTGAAAATATTTATAAAAAATATACCTCAAACAACAACTGAGAAAAGACTGATTTACTGAAAATGCCCTTGAGGTTGATGTAACTCTTATATGCGGCTACGTAAGGTGGTTGGACACTTGGTGCCGAGAGTACAATGCTAATACTAATTCGGGTCGTAAGATTTCCCTCTAAATACCTTATCGTTATTTCACAAAAAAATAAAGTTTGTTAGTATCTGGAATATGGCAAAAAAATCTGCCCTTTACTCCCACATAACTCCCGAAGTATTTGGAATATTTCCAAAAATTCTACGGTCAAAATAAGAGAAATCATTATTCTACAATATCTGTGAATATTATTCCATTTAATTAAGTAATAAAGGACCCACATCAAATTATAGGTGAATAAGTTACTTCCGAGATATCGGCCGGGAACGCCGGCCGGCCCCCGTTTCAAAAAAAAAAAAAAAATTTTCGCGAAAATCGCGTTTGTTTGGGTGTATTTCTTAGTAAACTGATGTTCTAGTGCAGTTAGCCTCTAAACACCGTTTTCTCTTACTCAGAGACGACAGGGTGACCAGTTACACTTTTATATCGAAATATTCC